AAAATTTTTCATAACCCCACTTTTGATCGTAGAATCCAAAAATATGAAAAAACATGTATGTTAATTTCGACCATTCCACTGACCTCGGAAGCAATGCTCGACTGAGTCGCGAAGTCTCTCTTAAGCAAGAACTTACTACAATGTCATCATCTGTGAGAAAATTGTACATGTTTATGTATTCTAAAGAAGAAATAAGTAATAATATACATAAACCGGATAATGATCGTGCACGTTTAGCTACAGATATGTGTGTATTTATGAAGTGAGATTTGGTATGTGAAGGCTTGATTTAGCGAATGTCGAAGTTTTTGTGATTTTAATTTTTTTAGAAGCAACGAAACGAGCGTTTCGTTTGAATAAGAACACATATGCGACCTTCATTAGTCGAATAAATGAAGCGAAACGTCAATTAAAATCTGATGCTGAAAGAAACAGGATGATGAAATATAAAGATGATGGTGGTGGTGTTGGTGAATATAGAGATGATAATAGTGATATGAATGAACAGGTAGGAATGGCATTGGGACAGAATGGTGAAGAAGATGATGCGATGGACGACGATTGTGGTAGTGCTGATGGAACTGAGACTAAAAATGAAGTAAATGATTTGGACATTTAGACGAAAGAATATAATTCAGAGGCATTTTCTTCTTATTCCAGTTAAGGATAGATCAGCAGAACATGTCAATATGCATGCAGAACGATGTAGGTCATAGAAATGAAAACGTATTCACCATATATTCTTCAAGACAATTTTCTCAATATATTTAGTAGACTATGAAGCAACATTGTTATTCGACTATCTCAACAGATAAAGCCAAACTTTTTTTTCTTCCATAGAGAACACTTGGGGCTAGTGACTGAATGCCGGCTATTTACAAAACAAGTCGTAGTTGAACAATGAAAGCATTTTTATTAGCAAAGTTTTACATATCTTTGTATCTATAATATACAAAAACAATAGAAAAAACAAAGAAAGAAGGCTCGTATACGCCACGATGCATATGACCATGTGTGGATTATGGTACCATTCGATAAAACTCATGGAGTATCTTCGAACCATATTTAATAGCCGACCACTAATCTCCCACATTCAAATAGATATGATGATTAAAATGTTCAAAAAATGATTTTTGCTTTTTCTCTAGCTTTGCTTTAGCACCATTTTGCAAAGGAGGGAAAGTGTTTTCTCTCTAAGATCGGCCTTTGATTTTTGATTTTCTTCTATAGTAAATGAAACATAACGATTGTAGAAAGTATACCTAATTTTTATTTTCTTTAAAAATCATGTTTCTCATGAAAATTGGTGACTCATAAGTTTGACTGCCACGACTTATGAGCTATAATGTGTCTGCGTTCATCTTTGACGAGTTTATTCGCTGTTTCATATTTATAATATAAAGTTTATATACCATTAAATAGCATTTTAAATGAGCTTTCGAATGTTGTATAATATAATAAGAAAAGTATCTGGACACATACCTTTGGATGCATACATACTTTCGAAGTCACATAGGTGTGTTATAGATGTGTTCAACGTATCACTTTTGTTAATGCTACTTTTCTAGCCCACTTTATTTAACCCATTTTAAATTATATACAATTAAATAGCATTTTGAACAGACTTTCAAATGATGTATAATATGATATTAAAAAATCTGGACACATGCCCGTTGGATGTGTACATACTTTTCAAGTGTCACAGACGTACTGCTAGAAACCAGATTTTTGACCTGTAAGCCTAGATTTTTGCAACTATGAAGGATTTTTATTCACGACAATATCATATTCGTGGCCACGCAAAAATACTGAGTCCAATAATGTGTCATTCAGAAAGTTCTATTTTTCATCAAAAAACTCCCCCTGATCCTTTTCTGGGATTTTTAAGAGAAACTAAACCTGGAAAGAGACCAAGGATAAGTTTCTGATGAAAAATGTCGCTTCATTGCCCACTAGATATATTGAGAAAATCGTGAAGAAAATATGGTGAATACGTTTTCATTTCTATGACCTACACCGTTCTGCATGCATATTGACATGTTCTGCTGATCTATCGATACTTTTAATAAACTCAGCATTAGAGTTCTGCGTGATTGATTTTTTTGCTCACGATCACGATTACGGTTGAAATGTAAGTTTTACGCACGATCACGGCTTTTTTTAGACAATGGCAACCACGATCACGATTACGATGCTTTGCAAAGTTATAATCACAATCACGATCACGATCACGTTCACGAACTTTTCACGAGCATCTGTAAGAGTATTTTATTACACCAATATTCGATTGGATGAATAAAATATCCAATCCAAAAACAAAATTAACGGGTTTTATTTTGTTTGTTCTTGTCAAGAAAGGTTGTAATCGTGAAAGGAACGTTTCTAACATATTTCGCAAAGGGTATTTTCTTCCTAATAAAATTATTTTCATTTATTCGTGACGTTTCGAATCACATCATTCTTTCTTTTTCTTTTTCTTTATAACAGTGGTACGGACAAAATGGC